ATTTTTGAGGACTCGGGTTTGGATATTTTCTGGTAGATTTAGGATGTTTCAGATGAAATTGGAAGGAAAGAGCTATAGATTTGGACTTTACACATTGAGAAAAAGCTATTCATGTAGAAATTAGCGTTTCTGGAAGAAGACCGCCACGGTCTTCCGTTGCCGGCGTGGCGGCCATGTTTGAATTGTTTGAATGAGAGCGAAGTAGATTAGAGGGAGAATCAGTTTTAAATGATCTCAAAAGTCACTAACCCTAGCATCCAAACAATGTCGTTTCTCCTTTGTATGATTTTTTTTTTTGTTTTTTTTTGAAGCCATGTGTGAAGTTTTGTTTGGGCTTAAAACATGCCTAAGCCCACTGACTTACTCGCACAACCCCTGTATCCACTACCACAATGCTTTTTTATTATTTTTTTATCTCTGAATTAAGCATTGGTCCACTGAAGTCAAGCCCAAGCGCTCCTGGCAGACCACACGAGTGTTTCAGACCATGTACCCCATCTAATTATCATTTGTTAAGTATTTTTGCTTTATATCTTACTTAGAATTTTCTCAATATTTTGCATGCTTTTTAATTTCCTTTAGAAAAAAATGTGACATAAAATTGTACGTGTAAATACTTTGATCATGATTTTTTTAGAATTCTTAATTCTTTTCAAAAACATGATAAGCATGATTTAATTTACATTATAGTTTCGAACATAACTTTGATTTCGATTTTCATCATTTTTGTTATTGTTGATTTTAGTCCAATTGATCATGATTGTATACTCTTTTGTTTTTCATTCATAACTTGTTTAACTTGTGAATTGGAAATGCTTGGATAATACTTTTGGATAAATTTTCTCCTCCATGTTTAGTTGATTAGTTAATCGATTAAACATTGATGTGTCTGCAAGTGCACGAAAATATCGAAGTAATATAAAAGATTGTCGAACCCACAGAGACCAATGTCAATCTATTATAATCTATCGTTGCTTTGTAAAGCTAAGGCTAATGATTGATTGATTAAGGGGAAACTAAGACTAAAATAAAGACTAAAATAATATTAAAGAAGTATATAATAAAAGAGAGGCCGAAATGTGGATTTCGTGTATCTTAGGGACTTTGTAATTTGTTGGGTTACACTGACGTTAGAAAAGTGTTTAGTAGAAAATATCAATTTAAAGACAATATTTGACACTCTCGTGGTTTTGAATAAAGTCACGTTCATTGACCATTGGGATTTTTCTCTTCGCTTCGCCCATCCTAATCGAGGAACGCGTTTTGAAAACTGAACAAGATCTAATTAATCCTAAAGCGCTCTCACTGTGTTTAGAATTAATGCCCAGTTTCTACTATCCGGTTCAACCCCCACGCTCTCGCAGTGCCGGCTCGAACCTTAGGTGATTTCCCACTCTCGTGGCAAATCATGTTAAGTAACCTTTCACTCTCGTGACAAGGCTATTTAATTAAGTTTAAAAACAAAGACCAAAACAGATTTTTCAAATAAAGATTTAAGCCAACTTCGTTACCGAGTCTCATCGAAGATGACAATCCTCACATACCGGACTCAAGAGAGTTTATCTAAACATGGAATTAAGTGTAAACATAACTAAACATAAAGATTGCAATTGAGAACATATTGGTAATTAAATTAATCAAATGAAACAATAGAAATAAGAAATGCGATAAAGAGAAACCTATAAAAAGAAACTGAAATAAACGAAACTGGAATTAACTTTATAATATGCTGGCACGCTTGAAAATTAGGTACAGAATTGAAATAATAATAATAATAACAACAACACCTAAAACTAATGGTGTGGTAGTTCCTCGATATGAGAAACTACCACTTTTTACATGGTAAACTTTTCTGCCTAAGGACTAAGGATAATAATCTGCTCTGATCGAAAAAAATGGTGGAACCCCTTTCAGTAGTACTAGTTCCCTTTATATCCTCACTACAAGATTCTTGTAACTTTCGTGGCGACCCATCTAGACTAGTGACTTCATGGCTCCCAAAGTATCGGGAAGACTCTGTACGTGGGAGAAATATCAGGGACCGGGCTCGCGAGTTGGTTACGTGGAGAAAACCACGAAAATTAAAGATGTGGCCTTCATAAAAGAGTTTTGATGAGGGCCACGCTTTGTGTGGAGAGGGCCACACAAGTCTGGCTTCTGTGGCGAGGGCTACAGTTGAAAAGTGTCATTTTTATGCTAGTTTGATAATTCCTTCCATTCTTTTGCGTATCTTACCAGTTTCTTACTCTTTCTCACATGGAAGCTCTTTGTTAGCATGCACCTGAAATACAAATAAATACCAACATAGTATGACATAAATAAATGAAAATAATACTAAAATACATGTGAGTTAAGTCAATATACGATATAATTTTGCGTTATCAAACTCCCATACACTTAAACCATTACT